ATGCTCAACTAATCTAAAACAAAAACCTTGTTGTTCTGTTTTCCTTTTTCCAAGAAACACTGGAGAATCTTGATAAAAGAGAAAGGAAGAGAGAATAATTTTTATTCCCCATTTCCTTTGCCCTGAGCTTCTTTTCCTGCTATGCTATTTAGTTCTAGAAAACTCCCAAATCTCTATTACATTGCTTTATTCCAGGGAGAAAAAAAAAAGTATTCTTTTCTTTCCTTTAAAACATTCCTGTGTAGCTCAGCAGTTCCTTGATTTCTTGATCGATTGTTTAAATTTGTAACATTAGAGTGAATGTCCTCCAAACTCAACCAGAGCACAAGGAAAACATTTTTATTGTGACCCTAGAATGCCCCACTTACACAAAATGTGCACTGGTTTCCAGATTATGCCCCTTCAATGACAATATGTTCTTAATATTTGAAAGTATTCCTCCTATGAGTTCCTTGGCTGTAAAAACTGCTTTTAATTTTTGTAGGAACTCAATTCCAATTGCACAACCACATCCGAATATTACAGGATTGCTTTATTATTCTTGGAATGTGACCTTTTTGTGATCTGCTTCTAGGGAAGTGCACTTTTTACACCTTTTCATTTCCTCCACAAGTCCTCCCTACATATATTTTTCTAACTTTCCCAGAGTTAACTCATGGAGGCATTTCAATTGTATTTGTCTCCCCAACTACAACATCACTCAGAGCACAAGTTTGAAATGCCCACTTGGATGCCTGTATATAATCCATGAGCTCAAACATGCATTTGTTCATATTTCCTCTCCGTTGCCTCTCTCCAGTCATGTCCAACGTATTTCTCCCTTACAGTTCACAAAGTCAGGCGCCCATCGGATTGCCCAGTTAGCTTCCAAAGGATTTCTGTAATATTTACAGTGAACAAATGGGAATCAAACCACTATAAAGATTCATACCTCCCCCCCGCCCCCGTTTTTCTTTCCGTTATTACTAGAAGAACTGCAGGCTGAGATGCAACAGGGGAGGAAGGAATCTGAAGACAAGAATCAAGAAGAGCCAGAGATGCTATTCAGCCAGTTCGCACCTACTTGGGCGAACCGCTAGCAAGAATTTGGCGTGGGTCGCCAAACCGGTAGCAACATCTAGCTGGCCACGCCCCCAACCCAGTCACCCAGTTTCTGCTCACTCGCTTGCCCCGCCCACCCGATGCTCGCTGCCCCAGTTTAAAAGAGGACTGCTCCCCCGCCCTAGCCATGCATTTTCAAGCAGCGACTTGAAAACACATGACTGTGGGTGGAGCAGCGGTCCGTTAACCTGCAAAACTGTTCCAAGGCTGATTCTTCATGGACACTAGAAGTATCGCCTCCCCTTGTGAGTAAAGTGCCTGGAGAAGAGGGAAAGAACGCTGTGTGTGGGGGGGTAAATCCAGCCATGGGGAAGTTTGCAGGAGCTTCAAATGCAAGTCCATTTACCTGCAGAACTTCTCTAATGCTGGATTCACTTTCCTTTGTGAGTAAGGTGCCTGGAGTGAGAGGGAATGAAGGCCGACAGGGGGTGGATGTGTGTGAGAGAGAGAGAGAAAGAAGAAAGAAAGAAAGAAAGAAAGAAAGAAAGAAAGAAAGAAAGAAAGAAAGAAAGAAAGAAAGAAAGAA